CAAATAGCTGCAGGAACACCACATCCAACCCCACATCTGCAAATGGCCCAAGAACCTAGCCAACAGTTTCGCATTAGCCAAGATGCAATTCTACCTCCTCAAATTAGCAAGGGACAGACCCATACTGTACATATCTCCAATTCAGCTTAACAGCCTCTAACTGTAGACCAGCCATCTGGAGATCATCACACTGAAGGGCAAGCTTTTTAAAATACAGACTGATTTCCTTCTTAAATATATTTATTTATCAAGATGAAAGAGGAGTCTTCATGTGAAATGCATTATATATACAATATTTTCTATTTAATTTCACATGCTGGTAATGTTGATTGTTGACTTAACGGCAATTGGTTTATGCATTTTTATTTTGCAGATTTGTCAATTTAGATATATGCTGAAAGCATGGCTTTTTAACCAGTGTTCTCATGCCCTTTGCCTGAACTGCAATCAAATATTAAAAGAACATGGTACAAGCCTGGTTACACATTTTGCCATCTCTGTTATTTCAGTGAAAAAGAACAATGCATGCTTAATTTTTCCACTGAAAATGATGGGATGTAAAATTGCCTCTGAATGGACTTATACTGTATATATTTAACAAGCTTATCAACTGATATTTTAGATACATAGTATTTTTTCCTCCTATACGCTCATTAATTTGGGCTAAGGCAAGCTCATGTTTGGATTTCCAAAATAATCGATGAGTTTGTGTCAATTAAGACTTTGTGAGAGTCAATTTTATTAGAAGGTTTCTACAAGAAGAGGTAAAATAAGACTTGAAGAATTTATGTAACTTTTTGCAAAAGTAAATGCATAATTTCAAAAGACAGAAAAAATAAAAGTTACATCTCCAACAGATGGGCGTAGGCTCTTCTAAGTAATGATAACAGGCTTAGCAAACTATTGCCTTGTTTTGGTTATGTTTTCATTAGCTTTTTAAAAATTATGCACATCAGTTCAATGCTCAACTTCCCTCGACTTAACTGACACAAATCAATTCTGTTATTGGCTTAACAGAGCAAACACAGGCATTGTGATTTCTCCTTTCTCTTGCACTTTTTTATATTCTGGTGAATAAGCAGTATACTCATTCCTGTAATAAAATTTTAAAAAGTGATTGTTTCCCATTATAACTACAAGAACATTTGATTTATATGTTAATAGTAGTTCTAGTTTTTAAACTAGAATCAAACTGGGGAATAGAGGATAAAAGCTTCATGCTTGGACCAATAAACTGTTGACCAAAATTATTAGGCCTGAAGTAATCAAGGAATAGGAAGAGAGAGCATACTTTCTCCTTAAGGAATTGCAGTGTGGTGGACATCAGTACACAGATATGCACTATACCTTCCATTCTTCCTTTCCTCATACTGTCTAAACTGTACAATATGGATTCTACTGAATATAGGAAAGCTTCACTGTGGTAATCAGTGAACAATGGTTGGCAATGAAACATTACGGATTACTTCAGCATCCTGGTGGTAACCTTTGGTATAATGCAGAACAGGATGAAATGAAGGTGCTCAGAGTTTGTACATGGGAAGAGAGGGTACTCAGTCTTCCCTCAATTAAATTGATTGAGGTTTTTATACAGCTATTGTTTTAAAAAGTTTAGTGTCTTAAGACCAATTGAATGATCTAGTGAAGATAATTAATTGAAGGTTTGCATAAGGAAAAAAATAATAAAATGGGGGGGGGTGGTGGCAAAAAATGTATAACCGGGAAATAATTCTGCTCTAAATGATTAAATTGTGCCCTCAGTTAAACATTTACAATATAATGCTTCTTTATGTAAGATAAAGCTGTAGTGCTTTTAAAATAAACACAATGCATATATTAATCCTTCCGGAAATCTTTTTTTCTTCCACGGTTTTTTTGTGTGTTACAAACTTTTTTTTGTCAGAAATGTGTTCCTTACAGGTCAAACTTATGCTTCTGCGGTGCGGTGCGGTATAAATAAGATATATAAAGTTACAATACCATTGCAATATTCATATGTGCAAATATAAAAATATATTTCAACCGTTTCCCCATATGCCCAAATGATCATTTGAGATTATATTTAGATGCTGTCACAAAATACGTAGCAGCCATGATGGACATGACCAGTCACAAATACCCTATTAACAAAGACAATTTTTTTAGGATGCCTTCTACGACTTCCTGTAGCTTTCCCAAATCATTCCCAGCACCCTTATTTTTCTACTTTTCTGGAAAGGTAGGCACGTTTAAATATAAGGCTCTAACCATATCACAAGATGACTTCCTGAAACTTGTTTCTCTCTCAATTATCCCTGCATTTAATTTTCAGATCTTTTTGCATTTCAATCAATTATATATTTGAGGCTGCTGGGGAGAATGAACCACATTTCTATTCTAGGCTCAGTTTCCAGCTTCTATCTTTTGTTTATTTTTTAAAAGAAAAACATTAACAAGCAGAAAAACAGATTGAATAATTGCCTTGCCTGTGTTCCCAAACCACGCCTCTATTAGCCTGAATGTTAACCAAAACTCAGCCTTGGCTGAGCACTTACCAGTAGTAAATATAAATTATTAGGGTTTGCCTCCCCATTCTTTATAGCAGGAACCAGTTTGGCTTTTTGGAGTTCCCTCTGACTATCAATAAAAACAAAACTGATTTCCTGAATTGTAAACATATGTAGAATATCCTGTTTTACTTGGGAATACAGTACTTTTATGTATCTTTTCAGTATTGCACAACAACCGTTGAAATATTTACCTCCATTTCCTACTTTACCAATTTCTCCCTTAAAATTATCTGGCTGTCAACAACAAGGTGTCTGCAAATTTCACAAGAACAAAATTGTTTTCATTAGAATCCTTAAGGAATTGAAAATTCTTAGGTAAAACAACATGACCAAACAGAAAAGCTTCTATACAGTTTCATTAAGACCCACATGATAAATATCCCTTCCCTGGTGGTGAGATCTCTGTACTATTTTAAATGGATGAGAATAACAAGAAGAAAAAAAGGACAAAACTTGAAATCCAGAATAAATCATCTGCGAGCCAAGCATATTTCAAGATCACAAGGTGATTGTTTCTGAGAAGCTGCAACAAAAGTAGGTATAGATGGCAAACCATTGTCAGTCCATACTGGAAAATGTTCCAGTCTCATTATTATACAGGTAGTCCTTGGTTTACAACAATTCATTTAGTGACCGAAGTTACAATGGCACTGAAAAAAGTGATGACTGTTTTTCACATGACCATTGCAGCATCCCCATGGTCACATGATCAAAATCCAGATGCTTGGCAACTGACTCATGATCATTGCAGTGTCCTGGGGTCATGTGATCACCATTTGCGACCTTCTGACAAGTTCAATAGGAAAGCCAATTTCATTTTAACAACCATATTATAATTTAATTGCAGTGATTCACTTAACTGTGGCAAGAAAGTTCGTAAAATGTGGCAAACCCATTTAATAAATGTCTCACTCAGCAACAGATATTTTGGGCTCAGTCATTGTAAATGACTTGTAAGTTGAGGATTACCTGTATATAATTGCAGATAAACAGAATTTGAGGGACCAAAATGCACCTTAAAAATTGGATTTGGCTTATCTGCAAGTATATACGTTAATATTTTTTAAATATTTAAAATAAAAAATTAAGCCATATTTCCCAGATACACTCACTGATAAACCCATCTATAGCTAAACAAACCTCCAAAAATACCATGAAAAATGTGATTCAGCTTATCTGTGAGTATATACAGTATTTTGTTCTTGTTTATGCTACATTGGAGAGGTGTAATCTTTCCAAATATTAGTTCCTTACTTAAATGTAACAGTAGTTGCGGGAGCTATGAAAAAGTGTTACTGAGCCTGTGTTCTAGAATTTCATTATCCCAGACCGTAATGACTGCTTGTCAAGTCAGAATAAACCAGTGGTGGGTTTCAAAACTTGTTGGAACCTACTCTGTGGGTGTGGCCTCCTTTGTGGGAGTGGCTTGCCACCCATGTGACCAGATATGAAATTATGAATTAGTACTTAGGTCGGTCCAAGTAGCTATTCAGAAACTCTGGCATTGAAGCATGCAAGTCTTNGAATCCTCTTGTTTAGTTAATACGACTTGAGTAAAATACTTCATCTCGTAAACTTACAAAGTCACTCCATGGCTTCATCAGTGGCATTTCTGAGGGATAAGAGCCGTGGTGTCACAGTGGTTAGAATGCAATACTGCCAGCTACTTCTGCTGATTGATGGCTGCCAGCAGTTCAGCAGTTCAATTCTCACCAGCAAAAGATTAACTCAGCTTTCCATCCTTCTGAGGTTGGTAAAATAGGGATCCAGATTGTTGGGGGCAATATGCTGACTGTAAACCGATTAGAGAGGGCTATAAAGCACTGTGACACTGTATATAAGTCTAAGTGCTATGGCTATTTCTTTTGCAGCCATTTGCCAGACAGTCTACTAGTCTCAGCTTTTCTACAGGTAGTCCTTGGTTAATGATGGCAATTGGGACTGGAATTTCCATTGCTAAGCAATGTTATCTGACTGCATATAACAACAGCATTTTTGGCACTTCCCACTTGCCATTATTAAGCAAATCATCATTGGTTGTTAAGCGAACACAACTTTGCTTAGGTTTGCAACTTTCCACTAGCTTTCCCAATTACTTTGTGGAAATCTGGTAAAGAAGGTTGCAAATGACGACCCTGGGATGATGCTACTACTTGCTACTATGATTTTTTGAATGACATTGGAGAATTTATACAACCAGTCCATTCATCCTACCTGCAACTAAGAATGATCACCTTGGTTTCAACCTTTTGTGGCAGTCCTGAGAACAGGCTTTTGGATGGTGCCCTACTTTGTAATGGGCACAGTTCTTTTCAGAATTCCTTGCATTCTGGAATATTTCAACTGAGTTGCTATGCAAGATCAGAATAACTAGGTGCGAATTCACAGATGACTACTCAGATTACTATAAGTACAAATAACTACAATTTCTCTATTTTCCCCTCTTTTCAGGTCAGAAAGCTTTTACCTGTGACCAGTGTGGAAAATACTTCAGCCAGAGAAGGCAACTTAAAAGTCACTATAGAGTTCACACAGGTATAATTAATTAAAGAATACTACAAGTTGTTAGGAAATGTTGAGATTTTCTTGTACTTCTAATTATTGTTTCATAACCGACAGGTATACATTTGTTTACTGTGCATTCCATGAATGTTTCAGCACATTGTTAGTTCCAGCTGATCATTTTGCAAAATTATTATATAAGTAGTGTGGTAATACAGAAAATTAAATATTCTGTGTTTGAGGAGTTGGGAATATCTTCTACTGAAAATGCAGAAAATAATTGAAATGAAGCAATTCATAATAAGCTAAAAAGTATGATGATACTATGATTGAAGATAGAAATAGTAATGGGTAATTCCTGTATATGAAGAAGCAAGAGAAATAGAGTTGCTTGAAGAAGAGTTACTGTGGTGAACTGGACACCCAGTTCACTTAACTTTGGCATTATTGCGTTCTAGTACAAGCTTCTTTCAATAATGTAATAGTTTAGTTACTAAGATTATATTGGAAAAAGTATAATCGCAAATGTACTGATGAGCAACAACTAGAAGAACATAGGGATACATGCAATAGTAATTGTCTGCTGATACAACAGTATCTGTTACCATAAGAGATTCCTCCTCCATCCCACACGCTTCCCAAATCTGAGAGCAATTGGAGTACATGTGGAAGAAAAGTAGAGAAATCTACCATGCAAGCAGAAGTCAGTTCGCTAGCATTTGATGGAGCCATTATCCCATGTTTTAATTTTCTAAATGTTGTCTATAATGCTTCCATCAATTGTGGCATTATTTTGGTTTCAGTTGTATTAGAGTTGTAAACTTCATGCATTTATTATTATTAACCACCGACATGTTAAGATAAAAATTATAAATGAAATAGACACACTTGGGGAAAATAATAATTTATATTTCATTTTGCATAATCAGGCCATTCATTGCCAGAATGCATCCTCTGTCATCGTAAATTCATGGATACAGCTCAATTAAAGAAACATTTAAGAACACATACAGGTAATGCTGCTTTCTATTCTTTTTTGAAAAAAAAGCTGGCAGTATATATAATTTAGGTAGGAACATCCAAGTAAGCAGCATTCATCTGTAGATAATAAATGAGGTTATAATGGATTCTGATTTTTAACAATGAATCTGTGTGGTGCTGAATTAATACTGTGCAAAGTTTACAGTAAAAGAATTGGTAGGGGCTATTACGGTAGTGGACTATAGGTGCCATATTCAGCCCAGTGTGGGAGTCCTACTGCTGATTTCAATCATTTACTCAGTGCAGGAATCTAAATTGACAGATACTTCAGTACATTCAGTGAAAGCCAACTTATTACCTTTGAATAATTGGTTTCCACTGTCAAACTGCTGCTACTGTTCAAAAAATTTTGGCTGGTAGGAAATAGACTGCTTTTTTATCAGAGGCAAATATGGCTGAAAACCGTGAGCAGATTACTAAAAGAAAATAAAATCAATATTATCCGCTTTGTGTATAATTTTACATTAAAATATGAGAATATATTTCATAATCTTTTCCCCCTATTTTTTTAGGGTAGGGGCATTTAAAGAAGACTGAAGAGAAAAACATTATCCTCCAAAATTTTCTCAGTGTTTTCTTGTATGTTCATATGTCAATTCATTATTTGTTCACCATAATAGCTATGAATTAGCATGAGATTTGGTTGTTACATTCATTAGAGTCTACTTATAAGTTAAACTCTCTTAATTGTTCTTTAAATAAGAGATAATTACATACTATACTAATCAGCAAGTTTTTATAGGTGAAAAGCCATTTACTTGTGAAATCTGTGGCAAGTCATTTACAGCAAAAAGTTCTCTTCAGACACATATCAGAATTCACAGGTATCTCCTTCCCTTTTTTTCTTTGTGATTTTGTATGGAAACCAGTTTATAGGTAATATTTTGAGTGAGGCTATTAATACAGTTTTATTGTCTGCTGCAATTACAGATCATAGTTTGTAAATTCAGTTCATGTTATGTTGTATACCCATGATGGCGAACCTATGGCACGCGTCCAGAGGTGACATGCAGAGACCTCTCTGTGGGCATGCGCACCATCGGCAGCTGCTCTTCTGGTTTCCGATGTGCGCTGGCAAGCTGATCTTCGCATATGCCGGAGCCCCGGAAACCTGAAAACCAGGTGGGCACCTGGTCTTTGGGTTTCCAGCGTGCGTGAAGACCAGCTGACCAGCATGCATGCGCGCAGCTGGTCTTTGAGTTTCCGGTGCTCATGCATGC